AAAAAAAAAAGTTGTGAATTTCGAATATTCGTCAAATTTATAATAAATATCTTTTTAAAAATCCCACATTTGAATACAAAAAAGCTGCAAAGACCATGAGTGTGATTCACAAATAAAGACCGCACAACTTAAACACACCTCTCCAACCATTTGATTGCTATGAGTGAGAGACAGAGAGGAGAAAAAAATAAAACCCCGCCCTCTACTCAATATTCCATTTCAGCTGGAAATACGTCACTTCACTGAAATAAAGTCGGCAGCAACTTCTGGTTCACGTGGACTTTAAGGCTCTGAGGTCCTGGGGCACTTAAGCGATGTTCTCACACAAAGGTGAAACTTGTTTGACAGTAAAGCGCTAACACACTCAAGCTGTAATCAGGTTGTTACATTAACAATTAATCTGGTTTTAGCATGCACCGAGACACAGGATTACAGTAACCGCCCATGAATTTAAACAACTCATGAACGTCCAGCAGAAAGCACAGCTACGGTACAATGAACACTCCGAATACAGCATCCCTTCAGATACTGATTCATAAGTCATCATCTCACAGTCAAAGTCTGTCAATGACAGCAATCAAACAACATCAAGCAAACTGAACAGAGGTGCAATTATTTAGGGCCTTATAACTTGCGCCAAGAAGAAAACGAAGACGTAAACACAGAATCCAGTTATAAAATGGAATTTAAAGTGCAGAATGTCACAGAATTTGGCAAAATTTGAGTGAATAAATCAAAAGTAGGGCTGTACACAATCAGATTGCGATGTGGACTAGTGTCTGTAAATATTAAAGCAAAAAACGACTGTTAATGAAATCTGAAGTCACATGAACTTCATCTCCAGAGCTGCTCTGCGAGTCACTTGATCAGAATTTCACCATTTCATTTGAGAAACCTAGCAGCAGATACACACAGAAATTTCTCTAAATGAACTAAAGTTCAGTTTAACTCAAAAATGATGACAGAAAATGTATAAATGTACTCCAAAAGCATTTATTATTGCCTCTCAAAGCAATAATAAGAATAATAGTTCAATAATTGAGATATTCCTAAAGAATAGTCATTCTTTAGGACTATCACAATTTTTCTTCCACGTTTTAATTTCAACAGAAAGCCTCTATTGTGCAGAACTTTGCTGGCCAAAAATAAAATTAAAGGAATTGATCAAATATTATTTGATTACATTTCAAAGATTTAATTCAATTGTTTAAATTTCATTAACTTTTATTTGACCTTTTTTTTTTTTACCATTGTTTTATAATAAATTTGCATTTATAAAACACAGAATCCAGGACAATTTAAACTAAAGTCTTCATAAATTATTAAAGTTTTATGAATTAAAATTATTAGGCATTCCTTTATTAAATTATGTTATTAAATATTTAATAAAACCATTAAATTAGAATCAACAAAATTTAAGGGAAAAAAGTCAAATGGAATTCGAGAGAAATAAATCAGATTTAATAGAGCCCTAATTTTATAATAGTGATGCGTCATGACTAATTGACTAGTTTGCACATTCTTATTTTATAGAAGAAAAGTTGTCCCCACAAAATTGGGGGTTTCATTAAAATGATTATTAATGAACATCATTTTGAGCACACAAACATTAAAAAGTTTAATCTCTCATAAGAAGTCAAGCCTATTTCTTTAACAGTTCAAATATATTAGTCTACTTGTCTCTCCCTTGGACATTTTGACTATGATTCGCCAAACCAATGCTCTTGATTCATGCTTGTACTGTATATGTTCAGTGTGTGTTTCCTTCTCAAACACGAGAGTAGCACAAGTGTGTTTGGAGTGACAGCACAGACGGCTCGTGGGCAGCATCAAGAGCAAACAAAACAAAGGCCTGGAGTTTAAAGCAGAGCACATGCTCATACGGCAGGCTCTTCACTTCACTTGCTCCCAACAAAGAGTCACATGAGCTGAAAGTGAACCCGTCTCAGAGGGGAGCGCATTCATACGGCTTAGAAGGACAGACACATAAAGGAGGACGAGCGGCAGAAGGAGGGCAGCAGCTCTCTGGTTTCCTAACAAACAGGTGAGAAGTAAAGCCACTGGCATATGGCAGCTAAAATGTAAAAAAAATAAGAAAGCTGCACAATACTATGTCTCCAGTAGCAGTGTTTCCTGCATTGCTTTTCAAAGGCATCACTCTGATGCTACTGAATTCACAGCATTAACTAAATAAACAAATAAATAATATTACACACAATCTGTGAATTGTTTGCCGTCTGAAATGAATTTCATAAAAATAAATTAACTTTAAAAAAAAGTGTACCAAAACATAGTAATGCTAGTGGTCTGTACTTGCAACGTGATTAGTGTAGTCTGATTCAAAACTAATTTTTCTTGGGAGCCATTTAGTTTAAAGCAGGAATTTCCAAACCTTTCTGAAAGCTGAGACATAATATTTACTTTAAGTACCCCCTAAAATTTCTTAATTTAACAACGCATTTGCATGTTCACAGACACAGTTATCTGATATTGTTTAATAAAATTATGATATATAAATTATTTAATTTTTTATGGTCTTATTTTGATGATTATTTATTTTTAATTATTAGCTTTTCACCAACTGCGTAACCCCAGTATGAGAAACCCTGTTGTAGAGAAACATTAAACACCTGTTTGCAGTCTGATGAATCATTCTCTGAATGAATCACTGAATCAGTTACTGAATCAACAACTGACTCACTTACTGAACTGCAGCTTATCGTTATTTTCAGTGGCGTCGTCTCAAAATGAAGCATGTTTTGTGTACTTAAGGTTCTTGAAACTTAAATTAGTGTAAATATTAACTGGTTGTTCATATGAGGTCATTGGCAGACAACGTTATTGTTGAGAGCTGTCTGAAGCATTTAGTAGTGTTGGCAATTCCCTGATTCACTGCCTGACCAAATGCACAACTGTGCTCTCCGTAACATTTTAAAACACGGGGCATTACAAGAATTTCAAACTGTGTTCAAGCCAAAACAGACTGGGAGGTTATGGTTATTAGTGTTTGATTTAATAGGTTTAATATCGCTCAAGTAGCCATATAACTTGTGTGCAGGACAGAAAACATCCTCTTTGCATTTAAATGCCAAAGCTGTGATTTAGTACACATTCCTCCTAAAATAAATATTTTCAAGCGGACCATAAATGCATTAGATTCATTGCACTTGCATATATTTATATCCGAATGCTCCAAAAGTCATTCAGCATAGAGTAAAGCACTTACTATCACAGCCGAGTGTCATAAAGTTATGCCATGCATGGAAAATAAAGTGTTTAGCTGACTCAAACATAATGTAATACTTAATCACATTACAACTGCAAGACACGGCTTGCTCGACCTGACAACTATTAGGTGTGTCACACCTGCAAGCATGAGCGAGACGCTTCCTTACATGACGAGCAGACACATCCAAAGGGGAAAAAACACAGAAGTAATATGACCACTGGAAACATTCTGCATGAGTCTATTTCTGAGATAATCATAGTTTTGCCGGCTATACTTAGACGCTGTGGGGTTTATCCCTTTGCTCACAGTACATGCCACTTTAACGGGTGACAATGAGCCAATGCTGGTCTCACACATCTTCCTATCAATGTCAGGTGAACCCAAACACCTTGATAGGCTTCCGCACCTTCTGACCGATGCATTTCCACGCCTTTTCCATTTAAATACTGGATAAAAACTTTGATAGAGACCGCACTCACAAAGAGCCATTTATAGCCAAAGTAGTGTTAACTAAAAATGTATATCCACCAAGACTTCATCATCATGTTTAAATCCCCTGATATTTCTGGGCTTTCCGAGAGCCTTTTTATGAACAGCTTCAGGTGTGATCAAATAGGACTGGATGTAGTTCAATGTAGCTAAACTAGTAGGGAAGTGTAAAAAATTAATTAATCGACCACCGTACACGCCCAGCTGATTAATCACAGTACATCAAGACAATTGTTTGGTATTAATAGTTCTCTAAAATGGTATGCAAATGAGGAACTAATTAAATATGCGCTAATTTGCATACATTTCCAGAATCTGAACACTGGATAAAGTCAGATACAAAATTATTGCTTGTTTGTTTTTTATCACTCCATGAATCACAAAATACTGTCAACAGGCAGAAAAGACATACATAATCACCATGTTTTTAGGATTATAATGACCCCTCAGCAAAATCCTTCATAATATAGATCGGAACAAAACTGTAAATTTGGTTTAAGTTAGTTTCTGGCACAGTGCAGGAAAAAAAAATATGTATTGGATTAGAAATATGTCATAAGCAGCATTAGTTGCAATAGCCAAAAATGTAATCGTAAGCCAAAAATGATCGATTTTTCTTTTATTCCAAAAATCATTAGGATATTAACTAAAGATCACGTTCCATGAATATATTTTGTAAATTTCCTACCCTAAATATATCATAACGTAATATGCATTGCTAAGAACTTCCTCTGGACAACTTTACAGGAGATTTTCTCAATATTTAATTTTTTTTTTCTTTGCACCCTCAGATTCCAGATTTTCAAATAGTTATATCTCAGCCAAATATTGTCCTGTCATAACAAACCAACATACAGCTTTCAGATGACGCATAAATCTCCATTTCATAGAATCTGCGGTTCAGGGTTACATATAAAGACGCAAATAGAAAAGGCACAATAAAATAAACACTTAAATGTGGATGTTTTCTTGCCACTAAGAAACACAAACCTAACATCTCCAGTGCATGAAAAAACAATGCGTCACACTTTATGAGAAACATGTTTATGACTGCATGGAGTCATAACCACGGAGCTGACCTTCCCTCAGACACTTGAGGGGTTAAATCAGTTCTGAACCGAGACGGACTGTTTGTTTACCCCCCGTGTGCTTAGATTATCTCTTCTTCGGCGTCTAACTCTGACTCTCCGTCACATGCGCGTGATGTTATGAACTTTTAAAGCTCGCAGGAGCGACTGAAGTGGCCTAGTTAGACTCGTGTTGTCAAGAACTCGGATCTCACCTCCTCGGCGCTTTTCCTCAGCGCTTTTTCGCGCTCGTACTGGGTAATGAGTTGCTCGTTGTCCTCCTTCAGCAGCTCCAGCTCCACCTCGTGCTCCTGGTTCTCCGCGAACACCGAGTCCAAGTTCTCCAGAACCGCCACGACGAGCGGCATAAGTTCCTTCACCACGTCTTCGTCGTATTTGCCGATCATCCGCTCGAACTCGCGGTAGATGGAGCTCGCCAAGCCGGACACCCGCTCGGACATCATCGCCGAAGAGCCCGGGTCCTCCTGGTAAAGTACACCGTCCTCTAACTCCATTTTCCTCGTTTTATCCCGCTCTCTGGACCTCCGAAGGCTTACTTTTAGACGCTGTCCTCTCGCTAGCAGCTCGCTCGCTAACTGTCCAGATCTCTATTTACTTCGCGACGTCTGCTGCTGTTAGACTACATTTACGAGCAACTTTTAGGAAACCACTCCAGCGTAAAGAGAGAGAAAATCTGCTCCGTTGCCGAGCTAACCGTGTGCGGTCCTCGAGGACAGTTATTTGACCGGGTTAATCTGCACTAAACAGCGGCGGTTAAGTACAGTCCCGAGGAGACGACTAGTGGACCCAACCGTCACACGCTGACGTCACGCCCCAGCAGCGCGAGGGGCGGCGCGAGCGGTCGATGCTGTTTGTTGACAGCCTTGAAACTTTTGCTTTCTGCTCGGTTTGTTTGACTCTCGCTGTTGGCGTGTAAATATTTGCATGTTTAAAATGCTTGCTTTTTGATTGAAAATCACATTTAATGTTCTGCACGTGTCAAGGAGGAATCAACACGTTTTTTTACAAACTAGTTTCAGGAACTATATAGATAAATAAACACAGATTTATATATTTTAGCGTTATGTTTTTTTAAAGTTTGTTTTTATTTACATTTTTATATATATATAAGTGCTGTCAAACGATTAATCGCGATTAATAAGTTTTTGTTTACATAATATACACATATATTATGTATATATAAATACACACACATACAGCATATATTTTGAAAATATTTACCTGTATACATTTATATTAATATAATCTATATCATATATAAATGTAACATTTTTCTTAAATATATACATGTATGTGTGTGTGTATTTATATGTACAGTATAAATATACACAGTACACATGTAAACAAAACTTTTTTGGATGCGATTAATCGTTTAACAGCACTAGCTGTTATATATATATATATATATAATGCAATACAATTTTTATTATTACAGGATGTGACAATTAATGTAATTAATCGCAAATTTATTGCACATTAAATTTGGCTGAAAAATGACTCCCAAAAGATAATTTAAACTCATTTTGTTAAATGCATCAAATACACATTACAAAAAGTAGCATTACAAAGATTTTTTAGTGAACTAGTTTTTTTTATGAATGTGCATTTTTATTTCCGTATTTATTTTATATAGAAATTTTAAATAATTTAATGAAACGATACTCTAAATAAGAAACAAATAGTATGTGCACGTAAATTAATGTGGTGAAAAGACCTAATATATATATATATACACACAACATAAAAATTTTTTATATATATAAATATAAGATTAATTTCTTCACCATCTATGATATTCTGTTTCCTATATAACTTGGATTTATCATTTGCAAGAACCATAAAATTTTTTTAAAAAACATGCACTTTTCGTAGTCTCACTTTTTTTATACCTTGAACAGACCATCTTTTCCTCAGCATTTTTATTTTTGAAAAATGCATGATATCCTGAAAAGGCAGCAGTGGAGTAAATGAAGAGACTCTCGTCTACATCAGAAGAAAGGTTTTCATGCGTTTGGTGCCATGCATCAAAGTCTCATATGGCGTTTTGCCAACTGATCGGCCGATCCTCATTTGGCAAAGATACATCACAAAAAACATCACGCCACCAGTACACTGATAATAATGACATTTTCTTGCTCGAGTCCTCATTGAACAATCACAAAAACGAAAGTAACTCTTACAGCTGAACAACACAGCATAGCAAATAATGTGAAGCGATGATAACTTTTATGGATGATGGGAATATATGGCAGTTCATGAAGCCTTTAAAAAGCAGGCACACTAATGGGAGTATAAATGCGCAAACTAAAATGAGGAGTCCAGTAAATCTTGCTCCCGACAGTGTTTTGTGAAGCTCAGATGACGTTCAGGTGGCTGTTGCTCATGGAGGACGGGCAGAGAGCAAACGGCTGTTCGCGGGTCAGACTGCGCAGTGCGTGCAGAACCACATCAGGCATGTGATCGGCGATCATCCGCGGGCTGATCAGAACATTACGGAACGATGTGTCACTCGACCACTCGGCACGGTACCTCACCTGAGAGAAGCAGTGTCTGTGTACACAGAGAGAGACAGAGACAGACAGAGGGAGAGAGAGAGAGAGACAGAGGGAGAGAGAGAGAGAGAGAGAGAGAGAGAGAGAGAGAGAGAGAGAGAGAGAGAGAGAGAGAGAGAGAGAAAAGCAGGCACACTAATGGGAGTATAAATGCGCAAACTAAAATGAGGAGTCCAGTAAATCTTGCTCCCGACAGTGTTTTGTGAAGCTCAGATGACGTTCAGGTGGCTGTTGCTCATGGAGGACGGGCAGAGAGCAAACGGCTGTTCGCGGGTCAGACTGCGCAGTGCGTGCAGAACCACATCAGGCATGTGATCGGCGATCATCCGCGGGCTGATCAGAACATTACGGAACGATGTCTCACTCGACCACTCGGCACGGTACCTCACCTGAGAGAAGCAGTGTCTGTGTACAGAGAGAGAGAGCAGTCAAAGATTTTAATAAAGACAGACATTAATTAAATTGTTTTTTTTATTTTTATTATATACTTCATTTAATTATTTGTGACAATTATTTTTAATTACTTTTTTTTTTTTTTTATTCCAGACATGAATAAAATATAATTTTTTACATTTTATTTAATAATTTGAGCCATTATTTTTTATTATTTAAAAAAAAAAAAATTACAGATAGGAATACATAACTGTTTTATTATATAGAATTTAATATAAATTATATAAAAATATCATTTAAATATTTTATTAAATTACTTTTGAGAGAGAGAGAGAGAAAGAGAGCAGTCAAAGATTTTAATAAAGACAGACATTAATTAAATAGTTTTTTTTATTATATACTTCATTTAATTATTTGTAACAATTATTTTTAATTACTTTTTTTTTATTTATTCCAGACATGAATAAAATATAATTTTTTACATTTTATTTAATAATTTGAGCCATTATTTTTTATTATTTAAAAAAAAAAAAATTACAGATAGGAATACATAACTGTTTTATTATATAGAATTTAATATAAATTATATAAAAATATCATTTAAATATTTTATTAAATTACTTTTAACTATTATATTTTTAATAACAGACATATTTAATTGTTTTTTATTATATATATATATATTATTTATTATTATATTTGTTTTTTATCTGAATGATTACAGTCAATCAGATCTAACTGATGAAGTGTGATACGCTATTAATAAGACAGTAAAATAAAAAATATCAATAGGAGTAATTATATTAAGGCTGGGCAGTGTGACAATATTTACCAGCTTACAGTAGAAGTACAGTTTTATATCCGTGTAGTTATCAGTTGTAGGACTGCTTTATGGCATCACAGGTGTTTGTACAGCATGTCTGCTATTTTATCAAGACTGTCTTATCGTATATATATTTTATAATATCATTTTCATTGCTCTCAGTCTTTTGTTTTAAACTCAATTGCAGTAAGAAGAAGCTGCTTGCGCGGTTTCCAGAGGAATTGTTTTAAATCATTTATTTTGTTGGTTTGCAACCAAGTTTCAAAAAAGGAGGATATGCAACATCACATGATGATTTAATATATTTAAAAAATATATATATAATCCGTGAAGATTGTGGCCATATTGTCCATCCTTAATAAATACATTCCTATATATATATATATATATATATATATATATAAATAAATAACTGTTCAAAAGCTTTGGGTCAGTAAATTGAAATGGCACCATTTTGGAGAGTATCACATACGTATGCAATGTATGTACGCAGATACGTTGTTTATGCTTTGATCTGAACGTAAACAGTGTATCCGCGTACATACGTGGGTAACGCGGCGGAGACGAATTGTTGAATAAAGTCGTTATTTTGGTTTTCTCTGCACAAAAAGTATTCTCGTAGCTTCGTACAAATTACGGATGAATCCCTGAGGTCACATGGATTATTTTAACGATGTCCTTGCTACGTTTCTGAGCCTTGATCGTGTTAGGATCCTTGCCGTCTATGGGAGGGTCAGAGAGCTCTCGGATTTCATCAGAAATATCTTCATTTGTGTTCTGAAGATGAACGAAGGTCTTACGGGTTTGGAACGACATGAGGGTGAGTAATTAATGACAGAATTGTAATTTTTATGTGAACTATCCCTTTAAGTCTGATCAAATCACGCATCCCTGGCGTGTGTGCTGACCTGCGAGCGGGCCCGTCCTCGGTGATGTGCAGGATGCGTCCCGGCGGGTACAGGGGCAGGTGTGTGGGGTGGGAGGGAGAGTCGTCGGATGACAGGCTCTGGTAGGTGTTTGAGCGCTGAACTAACAGACTCTCCTCGCCTAGCAGCGGCTGGCTAAGCGCCTCCTCCCGCCGGTTCTCCAGCTCCGTAGGGAAATCATCAGGAGTTCCTCCAAACAGCTCGTACCAGCAGCCGTGCATTAGGATCTTATACTGAGAGACAGAAACGTATCACTGATAGAGTATAGGCAGGCAGAGTGTCTGATTTACACTGAGTGAACGATCTTACCTTTGGCTTACTGCAGTTAGAAACCATTTTTAGTAATCTTCTTTTCAAGTCTTCCATGTTAGGGATGCTCAATCTACAGAAACGAAATGAGCACAATTTGAGGAAGTGATACGAACCAGATTATACAAATAGAAGTGAGAAAAAAGGAGCCAGAAACAGGCTCTCTAAATATAACCACACTTTTACGCATACAAATGAAATCAAGCAAGCATCTTTTCTTTCTTTCTTTATATAGCACTATATAAATGCAACTCTATATAAGTGCTTTACAAGGTAAACATAGAAAATAACACATCAACATGATAATAGTAAATAGCTTTAAAAAAAGAAAATACAATCCTAAAGCAACACCCATTTTAAAATGCCATTTTTAATTTGGATCTAAAAATAGCCAGTCTGTGCCGTTCTAATAGCTAGTGGCAACTTGTTCCAGATGTGGACCGCTCACCACAAACGCACGACCACCCTTGAGCCTAGATCTAGTTCAGGGCACTGTTAAGAGTGCCAGATCACTGGATCTAAGTGATCTAGAGGGAACATGTCTTACGAGGAGCTCTGCAAGATAAGGTGGAGCATCGGACTGATGACATTGTGGCCGTTTGACTAAATCTCACCTGGGTACGAGATCTTTTCCCAGCACCACCGACACGACAAACTGCTTCGAGTAATCGGCCAGCGCTTTACTGAGGAGAGAGAGTAGACATGAGCTAAAAATGTGTGGTTTACTGACAAAATACTACGTCACGTTTCTTTGGACGTGTACAATGATAATAGCAAACTGTGCTCTGTAAAAGGGCTGCAAGTGTTTTAGCATTGAATTTTAGGACTGTCGAGACCTTGATCTCAATGACCTCAAAGTAAAAGGCGGTGAAAGTCTGACAGTAATCAGTGCTGAGTACCATTGTTAACCCTGCCTGGTTTAAATGTTTCAAAATGATTATCAGTTGAAAATATTTGTTAGAAATTTGAGATGGTCCTCACTGCAGAACACAAGATCCAGGGGGCGTGGTTGGATCCAGATCAAACTCCTCCCACCTTACATATACCAAAACCTACCCGTCTCCACCCCTGATCACTAAACCCACCCGTCTCCACCCCTAAACTTACCCATCTCCACCCCCTAAACCCAATCAGTCTCCACCCCTAAACCCAATCCGTCTCCACCCCTAAACCCAATAAATCCAACCACACCCCCCAGGATCTTGTGTTCTGCAGTGAGGGGCTACTGAGAAATTTAGAAAAGTAATGTTACATTACTTTTTAGTAATTGAAATAGTTACACTACTTATTACATTTTAAATAGGGTAACTTGTAATCTGTAAACTATTAATTAAATTTCTGTAGTAGTGCTGTCAAACAAATAATCGCGATTAATCGCATAAAAACTAAAAGTATTTGTTTACATAGTATATGTGTGTACGGTCTACAAAAACTTTTATTTTTGGATGCGATTAATTGTGATTAATTGTTTGGCAGCACTATTCCAAAGTAACCTTCCCAACACTGGCTGTATGTGAATGAGCCACTGCTTTACCTCATCAGGCCCCCTGGTGGAGAGAAGGCGTAGCACTCGAGTGTGGGATGTGTGCTGCGCAGGAGAACGGCCAGCAGAGACGCCGCTCCTGCTCCCAGACTGTGACCGGTGATCACCAGCTTATACTCCTGCACACAAGCACAAGACAAACCTTCATTCGGCTGCTGATTCTCCTGCTGGATAATGAAAGCGCAGCAGAACCGCTCTCACAGGTGCGATGTTGAACCCCTGACTCAGAATCCCATCGTTCACTAGTCTCTTGTAGATGTAACGTGCAGCTTGACAAATGCCCTGCGATAGAGAGACATTCCAGCAAACATAAGCATTCGGTGAGAGAGATCGTGCTTCATAACCGATGTAGTGGGTGTATTGTTTTGATGATTTTAATGTTGAGATAGATGTATGTGATTTTGTCACCTTGTGAGCGTAGCAGGTTCCTGAAACGCCTTCGACCGACAGATTCTCACATTCAGCCGAGAGATCCGTCAACACATCCTGAAAACACACACAAACACAAAACCACATCAATTCCACTGTAATACAGAGAGATCGGGCTGATAGAGCTGATTCCACTGAAAACTCAATGCCAATGATTAATCTCACATAATCAATAAATAATTCCACGCTGTTTTTTCTAAATAAATAAAACGTTGAACAACTAAAATCAATCTTTTTAAAATGCCACAAATTGATTTAGGCAGCACGACATTATGAAAAAAAAGTATATTTATTACAAGATTCGCTAATTAATCAGTGTTATTATAAAGATTAATTGTTCATAAATTTTTTTATTCATTTATTATTCTTTTTTAATATTCATTAATAAATATAAAAAAAATTTATATTAATTCAGAGTAATAACTAATTAACTTGTTTTTAAAAATTGTTTTAAATGCTACAAGTGGATTTAGGCATCAAAACATTACGAACAGTATGAAAAATTTATATTTATTTCACCAGAAATGTATATAATCAGATTCGAGGACCAGAAAGAACTGTTGTGTGTGTGTGTGTGTGTGTGTGTATATAGATATATAGAGATAGATACACATTTTTATTTACATTATATGAATTTATCGTTTAATAAAAAATTTTATGATAGGTAAAATGGGTTAACTAAACATTTGTTTAATTAGAATTTTTAAACGTACTTTTTTTTAATTAAAAAAAGTATGTTTAAAAATTAATAACTGCTGTCATTGTTAGTTCATGTTAACTAATGCAGTTAAGTAATGTTAACAAATTAAATCATACTATAAAATGTAAGAGATTAACTTTAAGTGAGCGTTACACAACAACAACAAAAATAACTTAAAAGGTAAAAAATATGGGGGCGGGGGGGGAATAATGCACATGTAAATAAATGCATATTTTCTAACATATCACAGCGCCCCTCAGAAAGCCACACGATCAGATGAATCATTACGATTAGTAACTCTCAACCCTAAATATGAGTGATAGTAAAAGCCCAGGAAAACACTAATATCGAGACTTTATGCAAACTATGAAATGGCTCATTTGAAAATGAAATGACCTCGACAGCAGCGAATAAAATGTCAGCTCGGGAACGACTGGCAAGCGCCACGAGTGTGATTTGTTTAGGGAAATAACAGCCTGAGCGTCAGTCCAGCACAAACACACCTGCAGATCACACACACGCTTGCTTTCTTTGATCATTATCAGTGTAGAACTGCTGCCTGAACTCACCTTCAGCGACAGCGTTCCCCTCACAGCGACCAGGACCGCCTCTCTCTTGTGATCTAGCGCCACGTAAAACGGGATCTCGTAGATCTACAGAGTAAACAGACACTGCTGTAGGTTGGACTGCACAATATTTGAAAAACTGACATTGTGATATCCTCAAGCCCTTTTCGGAAACTATAAAGTAAATAGAGTTTAAAACTCAATCTCGTTCTACTTGAGTTTTTATAGGCCACATTCCCACTGTTTTTAACCAATTCAATATGCTTATAAAGTAATAATAGTTATTATGATTGTATTGTGATTATTATTAAATAAAATACAGTAATAACAACCCTTATGAGTCAATTTAGGCTACTTTCTCTTTGAAAAGACGTGCTAGCTGAGAGGAGCAGTGTTGCCAACTTAGCAATTTTGTTGCTAAATGTAGCAACTTTTCAGACTACCCTAGCAACGTTTTCTTCCAAAAGCACCTAGCAACAAATTTAGCTATTTTTAAAATTGATTTGGCAACATTTAGCAACTTTTGATAAGTGACTCAAATGATAAAAAAGGCACATTTTCCATCTAAATTACACAAAAAGAGGAAACCAAAGGTGCCTAGCAGTACACACATCACATGAATTAAGTTAGCTGCTATTTGCAATTGTTTAATTTAATAATAATTGTTCATTTATGATACACCTTGTTAGTAGCTTGTACTTGAGATTGTTGATCAGCTAGTGCACGGTAAGAAAAATATCTAATATCTAGAAAAAGGTACTAGTAATTTTCCAGGACATTATCCGTTATCCATTATAACCATGTAACCCGAAAACACAGAATACAATGCGTAATTTAAAATGTAGGTAAAAACCTGTGAATAATAATTACGGGAAATTCCTTCATATTAGTAGATTTTGCCCTATTTTTACAGACGTTTTCTTCGAGTGTAGCATACTAACTACTAATACACTGCTTGAAACTATAATTGTTCAGAATGAGTAGTTTTACTAGTTTACTAGCTAATAAAAATAAACTTAAATTGTAATCGTTCAAAAATGTGAAAGTGTTAAATAATTCAATGTTGTATTTAAAATTTGTTATTTATATTATTTTATAAAGACATCTAAATTAACGTATACACTTTTTTTTGTTGCTGAAATTTGATGCAGAGACACAATTTTGCATTGTGATTACGCAATGACATCGCAACGTCATTTAGCAACAAATCAACCTTCCTTTAGCAACTTCCCCTGAAAATTAGTTGGCAACACTGGAGAGGAGTTTCGTCAAAGCTGACTAAAAGCGATCGAGGATGGATAATTTAGACGAACTTGATGAACCTGTGAGATCTTCTTTAGGGCGACAAAGGAAAATAAAAGCTGAAAGGTTTTCACGGAAGCGCGTTACACGAGAGGGAAAAGCTCTGTGTATTGTGTGTAATCACATCCATACAGTTTATGATCACAACAACAACAACGTTTGTCAGGCGTCTACACCGTCATCTGAGGAGATTACAAAGATTAAACAAGTGTTTTTTTAAACTCTAAAACATGAAATGTGGAGTTATCTGCTTTTGCTATAAAACAAACTTTTAATGTGTAAAAAAAAAAAAACATACATACTTTCAATGAACTTTAATTTTGTAAATTACCTCTATTTGTTTAAGTTATTATTACTTAATCAAAACAACCCAACTGCAGTTTGATTGATATTACTTGGAATGCGCAATAAAAACAAATGTGATTTCTGAAAAAAAATTAAAATGCAGTTATCGGTGTTTGCAAATGAACGGACATTCATTAATTTATATATATATATATATATATGGGTCAAAGACAAAAAAGGGTTTAAGCATAAAAACAGTAAGTGTAATACTGCTTTAAATTGTTGTCGTTTTTTCCCCAAAAATTTTTTCAAAGTTGTGCGTTTAATTTAATAGCAATGTTGTTTTTCCAAGCAAAAAAATAAATCTCATAAATTCTCGATTTACAGAAGAGACCCACTAAAATGTCATTCAGTGTAACAATCTTGTCAGGCATATTTACAACAAAAATCTATTTATGACATATTAACAGACTAATTACTTTCACCCCAAATACTAATTAGTTGTAATTTTACATTTTTAAAGTTTGCCACTATCCTAGGTTTTGCCCATTTGTCAGTAAGAATTTTTACTCATTTAAAACACAATAAAATTTAATATGCTCCCTTACTGTTTTATATATTTTAATATGTACAAGTCGGAATAAGCATGCTGTTTGAATTTACATAAATATTGTGTCACACTGAACGACAATGTAACATGATTTCAACCAAATTTTAACATTTTATTCTCCAAAATCTTATTTGAAACCTTAAAAGTAGACACTTTACTGACATTTAATGTGCTTTCTATGGACATATAATCACGTTTGTAAATTTCTTTCGATGTTATTTTAATATGTACACGTCGGAATAAGCATGCTGTTTGAATTTACATAAATATTGTGTCACACTGAACGACAATGTAACATGATTTCAACCAAATTTTAACATTTTATTCTCCAAAATCTTATTTGAAACCTTAAAAGTAGACACTTTACTGACATTTAATGTGCTTTCTATGGACATATAATCACGTTTGTAAATTTCTTTCGATGTGGACATATAGTATATAGTTAGAGCACTCTCACTAATTTAAGAAGCACCCTAAGTGATTTGATGCTGGAGCCGGGCCTGTGGAGATATTTATGTGAACTGTGTGACTTTTCAGTGTAATGCACAACGGACCAGGAAGAAGCCGCTGACGAGCTGGCCGATGCTGGAGAAGGCGGCGCGGTGGTTGTCGTCCTGCGGCAGGCAGCAGCACAGCAGACGCAGACGGCTCTCCCACACCCGCGACGCCACCGTGTGCGCCGTGTAAAAGAGCTGAGACGACTCGCTGCTCTCCAGATCCCTCACGCCCAGCGGAGCGTCTGGCAGAACCCCCGGCCTCTGACTGCCCAGAGGATCGAACACAACCAGCACACCCACCACCATAGACAGGAGGATGATCCAGCTGAGGACACACACACACACAGCGCTTTAAAAGCTAAACACTTTACCCTGCAGAAAGATTGGCTTTGTATGATTATCTAAGCGTACAATCAATCTATGAGTCATTCCATGCCACTTCCAGTAAATACATTCAATCACACAAAAGTGTTCATTGTGTCATCTCAAGGTAAGATGAATTCATCTGCATACATTGAGACATAATTTTGCATTCTGAAAGATTGACAGTTTTATAGTATAATCTGACTTTATAAGCTCGTGCAACAGGTCTAGAAACCACAAGGTGCCAATTAGAAAGAGCATTTAATGCTTTATTCAGTTTTCAGTTATCATTATCATAACTAAATCATCCATTCTGAAAATAACAGCGTTAACTTGAGAAATTAACTTATCCCTTATTTTGAAAGGACAATGATGCTACTATGACAAAGTTGTTTTGATTTAGGGAATAGATCAGTACTTTAAAAGTGGAAGGAAACACATGCAACTGCAACAGGGTTGAGACACAAGCCTATTTAATAATAAACAATAAATGTATTATATAAAAACAGAGAATACTAGCTTTTTTGTGCCTGTATTTTGTTGGACAGGACAAATCCACGCGTTTAGAAAAATGTCTAAACAAGGTACAAGTAATTCAACTAATTTTGTAAACATTGACTACTGTTTGTAAGATTTTTTTAATGTTTTTGAAGTATCCTCTGCTCATCAAGGCTGCATTTATTTGATCAAAAATACATACAAATTTGAAATATTATTAAATTTTTAAATATCTGTTAAACTGTAATTGATTGCTGTGATCAAAGCTGTATTTTCAGCATCATTGCTCCAGTCTTCAGTGTCACATGATCTTCAGAAATCAGTATAATATGCTGATCTGCTGCTCGAGAAACATTTCTGATTATTATCAATGTTGAAAACTGTTGTGCTGCACAATATTTTTGTGGAAACTGTGATGCATTTTATTTTTCAGGATTCTTTGACGAATAGAAAGTTCAACACGACAGCATTTTTTGAAATCTTTTGCAACATTATAAATGTCTACTGTCACTTTTGCTTAATTTGATGCATCCTTGCTGAATTAAAGTATTAATATCTCGCAAAATGATTTTTTTTTCCTTACCTGGAAACCACAGCTCCAATCACAGCCCCGACCTCCGCCGGCTTACACCCGGTGCTGTTGTCAGACACCCAAACGGCCCCCAGACAGGCCCATATGAACTCAGGGAAGTACAGGAGGGCCCGCAGATACACCAGAGCTGGCATAGAGCGCCGAGGACCGGGATTCATGATGGTTCCTAAACCAAATCACAGCAGCATTACACTGACAAACCCTCCAGATGTGAAGAAACCACAGCATGCGTCCGCTCGCTCACTTACCTTGAGCACTGATGTAAACGATTGCACAAAGTGTCAAAATAATGACAGCCAAAAGAACGAGAAGAACTACGAGGTAATTATGCAGATATGTGCCACCTTGACAGTCAAATTGTCCCTTATGGTTGGTGTACAGAACTAAAGTCACAATCCACCTAAGAGACGACAAGAGGTTTGAGTGTCATTCAAGTACCTACACTGAACAAAATTATAAAAGCAACAC